TTAATTTGATAAGCAAATTCAGTTGAACTTTTCTCAGTAAGATATTGTGGTATTACCATTATACACGGAAAGAATGATCAGAGTCATACGTCTAGAAAGTTAAAAGTGTCTGCTTAAACATTAAAAGGACGAATAAGTTGTTATCGTGACATTATTGTCAAAGTGAATGTATATGACAGTTCTAAGAAGATGGCAGGAATTTTTCAAAATGAAGTCTAAGGAATATGAAGAAATGTAAATGAAAACTACCATATCATGTATGATAATTCACACACAAACCGCTAAAATACGTGTGTGTGTGTGTGTGTGCGTGTTCATGTGTGTGTAGAGTCACCTATGTGTAGAGATGCACATTTGTGGGCTGCACATGGAGGCCAGAGGTCAACTGTGACTGTAATTCCTTGGGTGGAATTGCCTTTTTTTCTCTTTTAAAATGCAATGATTTTATTTGCTGATGGGAGTTTCTAGGCTAGGTTTCTTTCTCAAACATACTTCATCATATTAAAAAGCAAAGGCCAACTAGTCCTCAGACTCTGACCCATCTTCATCTTGACTAATCTGGAAATAATGAAGTTCGCAGGTCTCCTTGCCAGATGCAACCACATGAAGCCAGTCACGAAGATTGTTTTTCTTAAGGTATTTCTTGGTAAGATATTTCAAGTACTTTTTAGGGAATTGTTTCTTCAAAACAGCTGTGGTTTTTGTTCTTCAACGTGAACAACATTCCCCAGATTTCCAGTTTGTCCACTGACTTTAACCTTCTCCGGCAGAAATTGCTCAAAATTCCCAGAATAAAAAATTCCATCTTCCACTGGATGAATAAGGTCCAGATTAAACCTCCAGTTTGACCGTTCAGGTTTTTTGTCTTTCTGTAGCGCCATCTTGATGGCCGGCCAGCTGTGGGAAGAGCCCACCTTGCTTTTTGAGATAGGGATCCTTGCTGGGGCCTGGTGCCTGTCAATTAGGGTAGGCTGGCTGGTCAAAGAGCCCAGGGTTCCTCCTGTTTCTACCTCTCCAGGGCTAGGATTACAAACTCATGCCATCACACCTGGCTTTTTATGTGGTGCTGAGCATCAAACTCAGGTCCTTAAGCACTTAACCAGCCGAGCCATCTCCCCAGACCCTAAAAGACAGTCTTAATGAATTACAAATAAAAGTTATGTTTTCTATATTATCTCTATTGTATACGTTTCAAAAGAAATTTTTTCTTAGACCATTTAACACCTTTGCCCTGTGCTTCTAATTAAGATATACACTATTTGTTTAGAGCTCGGTGGTGTGAAATTGAATCAGTGGTTTTCTAATATCCATAAAATAAAATTTTACATGTTTGGCCTCGGAAAGATAATTTGGTCACAGGGAGCTTATTTCTGTTTCCTTTGTTTTCTTTTCTTTTTTAGCTGCTTGGTAAGCCAATTTTCTACTTAGGTGCTACTGTTAAAACTCTCATTTACTTCAGTATGTGGGCTTTATCCTTTCCATGGTCTATTATGCAAAAAAGATGAGTTCTTTTTTTTTTTTAAGTAAAGCAGTGGGTCTCAACTTGGATGCACATGAGAATCACCTAGGGAATCCTTAGCAGATTACTGATGCCCCCTTTGGACCAGAGATTCTGATGGACGTAGTCTGGTGGCCCCCATCTTAAAAGCTTTGCAGGTGATTACAGTGCATTGCCAAGGGTAGGAGATACTGTTCTAGGACCCCGCCACCTTGTAAATGAAAGCTGATTATCATCTGACAAAACCTAGATAGGAAGTCCTTTTTTAAAAAATTCTATAGTTTAACAGAGCCAAGGTTCAACCTCTCTATGATGCTATTTTTTCTTTCTGGTTGTAATTTTAGGTTTAAAAGCATATAGTAGTATTGGATGATGATTAGTTTAAGGAGTCTTCTGGCTGCTGCTGAACAAGAATGTCATATGCTGAATACCACTACTTGTATAGACTGGAGACTTTATTTTAGTATATGATATGCTGAGGAATGTTATAAAGATTGTCTTATGCAGAAAAAAGCCAAACAATTATTTTCCTAGATCTTCTACCTCCCACCAACATTCACGTTGTGTTATTGAAAGGTCACAAGAATTTCTGAATAGCCAATTTTTACAACAGTTGAATTTGGATGGAATAACTGAAAGGGTCAAACTCTAAAAACAAAAGCTCTTGCTAAGAAAATGAATCATATATCAAAACGTTAGAAGTAAAAAGTGGAATATTATGCAATAAATGGTGCATTAAAATCATGTGTGGCGAGGTGGGGCTCAGTGGTAGAGTGAGGCCCTTGACTGGATCTCCAGCAGCACAAAGGTGATACACAAAGACAACACAGAACTTTACAGAAACTGACTCAGACTCACATAAAGTGGGTAATGTTATAAAGATACAAAGTACGGAAAACATGTCAAGAAAAAATATAGAGAACTCCCTTTCAAAAACCCAAACTCTTGGGGATAGAGAGGTGGCTCAGCAGTTAAGAGCACTGGCTGCTCTTGCAAAAAACCTGGGTTCGAGTCCCAGCACCCACTTGGTGGCTAGCAACTGTCTGTAACTCTGGTTCTGGGGGATCTGACACCCTCTTGTGACCTCTGTGGGCACTGTAGGACACGGGTGCACTTACATACATGCAGGCATGACATGCATACATGTAAAATAAAAATACTAAATGAAATATCTTAAAAACCCAAACCCTTTAAAATGGAATCAATAATTCCATCTGGTACTGCTTCTGAGAGGAGAAAAAGAAAAAGCCAGCCAAATTACTCCACAGTACTAATACAACCCCGAAAGTAAACCTAGAATAGATAATAAAAGTAAAATTGAATAGCAGTCTCCCATTTGAGGGTATCATGAAGCCACTTGAATCTTCCCTTCTCACTCTCTCTAAGCAGAATCAATCACTCCCTTTTAGCTCTTGTTACAGATTACACACACTCTACCTTCAGCACACTGGTGCACTTGAACGTTGTTTTATTTGTCTCTCACTGGTAAACACTAAGGTCCTTGAAGGCAAGACAGTTTCTTATTCTTATCTCCTGGGATGAAACACAGTGCTTATGCATGTCATGCTCAATAGCTACTGAACAGAATGGCTACTTCAGGAAGAAACACCATTAATGTGAACATGAAGGAAATGGGAAATAATGAGGCAGTGAGTACATTCATTTGGCTAATACATAGGTTTATGTAAAAGTAACACTGGAAAGGTAGGTCAAGATCAATCATTGTGGGCTTTTCAGTGCTGAGACTGTCTGAAGACATTTGCGCAGGCAATAACTCAGATATGTGCTTCGGAATCCAACACACACTGTCGAGAGCTGCAGGGGCTTGGAGTGACCTATCTGCTTTAAATTTATTATTTTAAATGTAAGAAAGCTGAAGCCAGTTAGGATAGATGATCTACCCAAAGCCAGAACACAGAATTAACTAGAATCAGGCAGAATTTTCAAAGTAAGCTTGATTAAGGTCACACAGATACTATATGGCAGAATCCACAGATGAACCCAGTTTGCTCAACTCCATGACCCAGACCATTATCTAAGTGACACCAGGCAATCTAGGATGTACATAATGTCCTTTGTTTTTAGAAATTTTACCTAATATTAGCGCAATCATTTCAAACAAAGGTAACCAGTAAATATGTAACTAAAAATTTAATCACATCTATTTTTATTTTATGGCAGGACATCTAAAATACTTAATAAATTCTAATTGAATTAATTGTATTAGGTCATTTGGACAGTGTTTTTCTAAATGAACTTTGAACATGAGCAGGTGATAGCCAACAACAAACACTGCCTTAGCTCACAAAATCCATACCTAAAGCACACAAGTGATTTCAGTCACTGCAGCAGAACTGGAAAAGTTCTATTTCTTAAGGAAGACACACATACACGCCAAACCCAGAATATTAGGAATCTTCGATCTTAAAAGGCAGCCTGAACCTGGGCATTGAGGCACATGTCTTTAACCTCCATACACTTGGGAGGCCGAGACAGAACCAAGGGTTTTAGGCTACATAACAAAATCCTGTCTGAAGAACAAACAAAATTCAAAAGATTGAAAATTTTATAGTTTTAAGAACATAGCAAACATAGACCTATCCTTTTTATTTCAGAATACTAATTTGAGAAATACTTTCAAAGTCTGAAAGACAATTGATTTAAAGGAAAATATCAGAACATTTCACCCAAGTAAAACTAAAGCTTTAACCAAAAGAGAGAATTCTTTTTATTATTATTATTATAAAAAAGAAAAACAAAATTTAGTGTTCAAACTGGTGCAAACTGAAAATACACACAGGTTCATCCATATGCATAAGTAAACCAACACTGTCAGAAGAGACAGAACAAGGGTAGTGACCTTGCCTCTGATACTGTGCCTTCCAGCCGACCCCCCACGTCTCATGGGGTCATGCGCTGAGCAGGTTGCAGCTCGGCACCCTTCTTTGCTTCTTCTTGGCCCACTGACACTATGGCACCACAGGGGCTTCCATAAAACAGGCATCTTACTGATTGTTTGCTAAGGGAAACTGGTAGCATAGCTTGGACAGGCATTAAATCATGAACAAACAGAAAGACAGCACTGACGATAACAATGACAACAGGAACAGCGGTTCAGGGTTTGTTATGTGGAAGTGCTGCATAACACGTGTACTAACTATTCTCATCAACGTAACTCTATTTTTTTTAACTAGTGTAACTGCCACACAGAGAGGTTAAGAACTTTGTCAAGCACAGAGAGCTGAGTAGTGGCAGAACTAGGTTTGAACCCAAAGCCTGTGCTTTTAATCACTACACAAGTGCAGCCAGACCTGGAATCGTCAGCTTATGCTCCAGCTATGACGCTTTTTGGATCCCATTTCATATGTAATTTCCTTTCTGAATATTTACAAAAATAAATTATAGGTTTAAAAATGTATTCACACATATTTCAGAACAGCCAAACTAACAATGCTATTTTGTTTGCACTTTATTAAAATGTGTGTATTGGTTTTAGATTTACCTCAAGTCCTCCTTGAACAAAACCCAGGAGCAGAAGATTGGCTCTGTCCTTTTCAGAAGCAATCGGAGTCCAAGGCCAAGCATCATCACTGACCAGTGGCCACCAGCAAGCAACTATATCCTGAACATAATTGATAGCTAGACGGCGCTCTGTTGTCCTGTTTGCTGGGCCAGGTATGTCATAATAGGAAATCTAATGGTCAACAAAAATAGTATACGAAAACATTTATTTTAAAAGACAAAATCTTCAGAGTATTCCAAAAATTAATGCATCTGTAAATGTAATACATGCAAGTAAATATGCATCTTAAACATGTGCTTAAAAGGGTGTCAGAATTTACCAAATTCTTTTGACACATATATAAAAAAGACATATGTTCAAAATTCTCCCCATTTTTAGCAGAGGAAAGGAAAAAGGAGAAATGTGAGTTAGGGAGGAAGTGGGTGCAGCAGTTCCAATCAGTACCAAAGTGTACAGTCATGGTTGCCTGAGAGCATCGACCCACACACAGGGTTTAGGATCAGCCGTATGAAATGACAAGTTCAGTACTGCTGACCAAGAGTTGGACTACTGCTTAAGACATAACATGTTAACAATGACTGACAACAAAAAGAAAAACCAACTTGCGGCAAATATCTCTTAAGAGAATATATGAACAATATACACAGACATTCTGCATGAAAGGGATAAGCCATGGCACCATGCGTAAAAGTTTATGCAGCTTCTGAGAATTAGACTTCTTTCTTAGGAAGGATTTGTAGAATTTATTATTCAAACTATGTTATTTTGGAACATGGTTATTTGAAAACATAAGCACGACACCATCTGGGTGACACATGCCAAGGAAATATAGATTGCACCGTATTTCTGCTTAAGGAATTAATGGAAGGTTGATAGCTTGGAAGGAAAAAAAAAACTATCTTGCCATTGCTGGTCAGCAATAATCGAACCACTTTCTGGGGATTAAGCGCATGGCTAAGCCTACTGGACCAGACACTAGCAAAGGGCAGGGGGTCTTCTTATCAGAGAAATGCTTCTGGAGCCAGCCTCACTACATGACAGATTGCTTTCATATTCCTGTCTGCAAGGCAACAAAGGATGGCAGTAATGCGATAATGCCAGAGTGCAATGGGTGCTAAGAACCCGTTGCATTTATGTATTGTATTTAGTAAATAATCAGGCTCATCCAAATTGTGATCTCACCACTCAACCAAGGCCATTAAAATCAAGGTTAATGCTTTAATAATCCTCTGCTATTTTTTTTCAATATGGTCAAAAGGAACTCTTTTCTATTTGCATGGCCATAATATTATTGACCTCTTCATCCTCTGAATGCACATCAAAAGGAACTGAAATCAAAGTAATTACCAGTGTTGTTCTCTCATGGTAAACATTTAACTCCTTGCGCTGTGCCTCCACTGTTAAATTGAATTGGATTTTTAAAATGTAGACAGGAAAACTTGTTAAAGGTCAATAGTTTCAGGATATTTACCCTGAAATTCTTTTTGTTGAAAGCATTTCAATGTTAAATAATTAAATTATGATATAGCTGTAAAGAAAATCAGAATTATAAATACTCCCTATCTCTTCCTTGCTTTAAAGCCCAAATGGGCAGTGAAAGGCATAGATTACTTTATTCTTTTAAGTGAAAATACTTCTATTTAAATTCTCAATGCAATTATTTTAACTGTCTTATTTGAGAGAAATAATATAATTGCTAAATACTGTAAGATACATATGCATTATATTTTGATGTCCAGCTTACCATGTCAGCATGCTACTTACAAATTTCTAGACGATAAAATCGAGTTAAAATGAATGATTGGTATTTTCCTTTCTCATGTAATGCAAGTCAGTTGTTTTTTGAAATTTCATGTTTCCACGTGTCTTAATAACGGTATTGGTACTCTGTCATATTCAAGAGGCCAAGTAAAATGGGTGTTTCTTAAATTATCCTTCCAGTGGGTAAATGGTTGTGTTCACTAATTATCATATACTTTAAATACTGAAGCAAGAAATGAAATTCATGGGCTTTCCAAAGGGAAACATTAATTCTCTAATGTGTAGCAATGATGTGGAATGCCCATTCCTAATTTCCCCAATCCAAAGGCAGAAATAACGTGCTAATTCCCTTATTTAAGCTATAAAGATCCAAATTCACATCTTTTCTGAAGAAGAACTGGGACTCTCACAGTTTTCCTCGGCTCTCGTTAACTACTATCTTTCAGTGAAGAAGACGTCACCAAGCTATTCATCACACCGAGAATGGAAGAACTGGTCAGACAAATTTCTATATAATAGGATTAATAACACTTTAAATAGCTTTAGTTAATGATGACTGGTACATTTTAAAGACCACAGTTACAAAGGAAGGAAACAACATATTGAATAAATCTACTTTTAACCATTTGGAATAAAAATATTAAAGGAAACCAGGCTGTAGTTTATTACCAAGATGAAGAATTTATTTTACGTATTTTTTACATGTTAAAACTCTTTCTTAATCATAGATGCTTCTACAAAACAAAACTAGATCTTTCCTAGGCCACTACCACCTCAATCATAATAAATAATAATACCAAAGTACAAAAGGTTAGGTTAGAAACAACTTTTCTGTGGAGAATGTAGACATCTCAAGATGTGTACATGAGAAATGCAGTTAAGATCCCATTCCATTAGCTGGTTCTGTTAAATAAGTAGAGTGTAGATGCCCTTATCACAAACATTAGCTGTGCCAGGTCATACGTTAATCTGCTCTACCTCACTGACTGTTGTGTTATCATTATACATCCCATGACATTACATTGTAAACTTCAAATATAGAAAATAAAATTTATTTTAAAAATAAATAAATAAATAAAAATAGCTCTTCAAAAATGCACATAAATTACAAACCACAGGACTGGCTTCTAAAAATTGCTGCCTGAACTATGGATTCTCCAGGTATGCCATAAGTGTGCATCTTTGTTAAGGAAGCTGTATATCAGCTATGTTCCCAGTGAACAGTGAACTGTCTCAAATCCACGTCACAGAGGCCGGATCAATCTTGCAAACAGAAGTCACTGCTGAAAAGAGGCCTTGAACTGAAACAGCCTGGAAAATGTATTAGATACTCATCCTGGCCGAGAGTATGCCTTTCCAGCAGTTAAAATATAATGTGGCAAAATTTAAACACACCATTTAAAATAATAATCCTTCCTGAACAGATGTAAAGTTCCTGATACAAGAAACAAATTACCTCGAGTTAGCGAAGGGAGGAAAACTAACACCTGAAAGAAATTTCTTTTTGCATTTTCTCCAGTGATAGTTGGGGGAGGGTGTAAGGGTCTTCCCGATACTTACTCGATCGTCAGCCCGTCTTTGCAAGGCCCTTTCTCCTTTTGGCTCTTGCAGTGGAAACCAGAGCAATCATATGGTTACTTAGAAAACAAGAACAGTGCACGTACTAGCACATGCAAGAAGTCTACTCTGACTTCTGTAAGCACTATACAAATGTTCTATGTCTGATCGCCACCATAATGGGAACAAGAGGCCATTCAGGATAGCCACTGTCAGCAGTGAAATCAGCTTAATCCTATAATAATTCAGGTTTTTCTGAAATCCAAAACTGTTCAAGAACAATGATCATAATAGTAGCTCATGCAATATACCTTAATGAGTAACGATATGACTGTATACACTGAAATTCCTACCTTATAATCCAAGGCTGAGAGTTTTTCCAACCTTTTGTTTATATCGGGAGAATCCATCTTCTTCATAAATTGAATAAAACATAGTTTGTTTTGTGCCAAAAATGATAAGATGATGAAACTGTCTGTGAGAAGAGCTAAAACAATGTAACAAATTATTATTTTCCACTGAAATACTACAAAAGATATTTTTAGAAAATAAATATTAATTAGAATTGCTAAAAAATCTCCCAAATATCATATTTTCAATAGTAAATATATTGGGAACAAACAATAACCATCAACATAACACTATGGATTCAACATTTTTCCTTTCTTCCAGGGACTCTTTCTGGGTATACTAATGTTTGGTGAACACCACCAAATGAAAAGTTGGTGGAACCAGCTCCAAAAGCACAAAAGGAACACGATCTGATACCTGAATGCAAAAATGAAAAGGCACTTTTATTTGTGTTTCTATGTAAATTCTATATTCTTCTAAGCCATTTGAGAAAAAGGGGTTAGACACTGATCAGTGTTCTCCACCAACTTCAATTTTTTTATTTAAAAAGTTTTCATCAGTAATCCTTCTTTTGATGACTTATAAGATGGGTGAAATAAAGCATGTTATACCCAATATGTATGTTACATAAATAAATATTTAACAATAAATATCAGCAAAAACACTTTCTAAAGAATTTAAGTAGGTTGAGACTAGCATATGTTGTATAAAAGGCCATTGTTATATGAACTGTTCCTAGCAAAAGAAAATATTACTGAACATCTTCTACACTTTTCTTTATTTCCACAAAAAAGCAGTGGTCAGCCAACAGTGGGTCTGCACAATTACAGGTGATTCTGGAGCACTGCCAAGAAACCACCTTGTTCTTGTATCCCATGAGACTGTGTTATTTTGGACACAAATAAAAGAAACAAGTGGAAAAAAGATAACTCAGACAGAATAGTGTTAAAAGTTTCCTTTTAATTCTCATAGCCATGCATCAGTCTGCCATCATCCAGTTGCTGCACTCTCTGCCCTGTCCATGAAGGGTTCGAGTACTAGAGTATGAAAACAGAACTCCACAGGGCAGCTCCCTTGGTACCATACCCCTATAAGCAGAGGAAACGGCATGTCTACAGTCCTACCCCTGCTTGGTCCTATCAATAACGTTACTAATTATAGTCATCCTGCAGAGTGTTTTCTTGAACTGTAATTATGCCTGACTTTACTGAGAGGCGCCTAGTGGAGCACGCAGCAGAAGAAAGGACTTTTCACTCTCACCTCTGACCATTCTGCTAGACTACATCTTGCTTTGATAGTCAATTTAAGATACTGACCGTTTTCAAACTCTCAGGATTATATAATCTGATTTTAGATCTTCTTGCCTTGAATAAAAGGACAAAACCTTAAATGTTTTGGATTTATTTTTACTTTTTATGTATGAGTGTTATGCCTGTATGTATGAAAGTGCATCCAGGTTATGTAATGCCCAAGGAGGTCAGAAGAGGGTGTTGAATCCCCAGGAACTGGAGTTATGGTTAGCCGTTAGCCACCACATGGGTGCTGGGATTTGAACCTGGGTCTTCTGCAAGAAAACCCAGTGCTCTTAACTGCTGAACCATCTCTCCAGCCCTCAAAAAGGACAAAATCTGAAAAATCTTGAGTCACCATAGTATAACAGAATTAAAACAACTGTTAGTCAGAACTTGTACTTGGATCTCAACTCAGTCACATGCTAGCTATATAAGCTTGACCATACTAATGAGTAGCTCAACTTCACTTTCCTATTATAACAATAGAAATAACTATATCTTATAGAGTTGTTTTCTTGAGTTAAATGAAATAGGATGGGACATAAATATCAGTAATCTTCCTCTTCAATAAATGGCTTAAAATCTTTTTACTGGGCTTTATGCCAGCCATACACTGTGCTGTCAGGGAAAGCAGCTTCTTATAAGAATCAGAGCACTTAGGATATTTCATTAAGGTCTTGGCATATTTGTGCTATAATTCATAATTCATTTAGAAAATATCTGAAATGTCAATGATGGAGGGATGATTTTAAAAGAATTAAAAACCTTATCTAAAAATTATATTTGAAAAATTCTAAAGGAAAGAATGGAAAATGCCTAGAATATGAGCCTAACATTAACGAGAAGACAAGCGCACTGATACTGAATATTAGTTGATTCTTGTATTGGTCCCAGGGGTTGTAAGTGTGCTATTACAAGCAATTACTTGTTGTGTTTGCAAGTCCCCAGTGGTAATAATTAGTCTACCTGTTGACACAGTATTTCTCCTGTCCCACTGTTAATGTAGGCAATTGATTTACACGTGGGGGTAATTACCATCACTGATGGTGTCTGAGATGAGCTTCCCCACCAGGCTTCTGTCAATCACCACTTTCTCCAGCTGAGGCCCAGAAAGGCTTAGGGACACCAGCACACCTGAACCAAAGAAGAGCTGAAGCCAGGTAAGGGGGAGGGAGGAAGAAGACAGACTGAAAATTAGAATCTTTACAAAAATCTCTCTCCAATTGTACTTACATAGATATTTATACATACATTCATATTATGAAATCATAAAGCTTTTCTTCCATGAAAAACTACCACCAACATTCTGAATACAAAGAGTCAGGTGTCTAAATGCTGCAGTGTACTAAGTGCACTGATTAAAAGCTGTAAACAGAAACTTCATTTGGCAATGTTTATTAGAAGCCTAATCTTCAAAATACTTTAAAAGTGCCCATGCAGAAATAGCTACTTTGTGTTGTATTAAAAAATGTAATGTGATGTACTGAAATATTCTGAAAGTTATTGTTCATACCAGAAACTAAAGAATATTTCTTGAGGTTAGACTGTCATTGTTTCTTACTGAATACAGGAGGAAGGGTACAACTCAAGCAGCCGATTTGGGACTTGAGCCCTATTTACTTCTGAAAATAAACATCTTAAAATCTAAAACATTAAAATACATGTAAATCAAGGCAGTTAAGTAAAATGTTAACCCTTTTAAAATCATAAATAACACACACCATATACAATTTCACTAGGAAAAACATATAATAAAGCCTCCAGCCTTTATGAATGTCACTGTTCAAGCGACCATGCAACAAAAGACTACTGGAGAGCATCGTTAAAATTTTACACTGCTCCTTTCCATTTGCAGCAGCATAATTCATTCATCTCCAAATGTCTGAAACTTCTGAAAGGACTCTGCATATGTGTATGCTTGTTATCTATGAGATTTTGAAATATCAACATTGGAAGAAATTGTTTCACCTTCAAGGCAACAGACTCAGAGCTGATGAATCATGGAATAGCATATGGCATAAGAAGGAAAAACCAATTGTTAGTAAACTAATCATGAACATGCTAGCCAAACTCAGAGACAACTATGATTTCAACAAAATGGGGAAATCCCCCACCCACCTAGGCATCATGTCCCAGCTAGTGATGATGATTCTGTGCTAAGACGAATTTGGACAAGTGTGAAGATGAGCAGCACCAGGAACCGGGGTCCTAGAAACAACAGCTCCCTACTGTTAGCATCCCTTCCTGGAAAATAGAGGCCTTATTTGACTGACCTAATGGACTTCTCTATTTCATGACTTTGCCTCAGCTGAGGTACATAGCTGGGCCAGTGGGGAGGGGGCGTCTTTATGAGTTTTGGAACTGAAAGAAGGCACAGTTGTTCCAAGAGTTTCAAAACACTTCAGAAATTAATCTCTATCAATTATATTCTCCCCTAAGACACATCTTGATGGCAACTGATGAATCACAGTCCCTATAGGAATTTCCCCATAGCACATAGCACATAGCACATGGTCTCCACTCCCCACATTCTCCCTTCTCAGACAGGAAAGACTTCAGGTCTCTATCCAGGTCTCTCCTTTGATAGCTTTTCTTCCTTTTGTATTTTGCTCAAAATACAGCGGTTAAGGGAACTGGCTGTTCTTGCAGAGGACGAGGGTTCTATTCTCAGCACCCACATGGCAACTAACAACCACTTCTAATTCCGGCTGCAGGAGATCCAATGCCCTCCTCTGTCTTCCAATGGCACTACACAACACAGGTGTACTTATACACATGCAGGCAATACAGTCCTATGCATAAAATAAAATAATAAACAAAATGGTTTAAAACAATGTAAAAAGTTGCCCGTTTCTACTTATTTTTATTATTAAAAATTTCTCTTAAGCATGCTTTCTCTTGATTATTCATTGATTGCTGGTTCTTATGATACTGGTTGGGTCACATTTATTTTTGTACATTCAGTGTTGGGCACACAGTAAGTACTCAGTAAATATGTGGAAAAAGAATCATAACTAACTCATTAGAGTAGTAAGCAATTCCTAGTTAAAGGAAAACCTAGCCTAATCATCCATTTCCATGTGACATGGATGTTCTCCTTTGCAGCAACCCTTCAAGTTTACGCCTGGCTGGGGATGCAGCTCAGTTGGTAGAGCACTTGCCTAGCACAAAAGAGGGCCTTGTTTCTTTTTTAAAATTCTTTTTATGGGGCTGGAGAGATGGCTCAGTGGTTAAGAGCACTGACTGTTCTTGCAGAAGACCCGGGTTTGATTCCCAGCACCCACATGGTGGCTATGAAACATCCTTAACTCCAGTTCCAGGGAAGTCCGATGCCCTCTTCTGACCACGGCATTGCACAACACAGGTGCACTCACATACATGCAGGCAATACACTCATACAAATAAATTTTTTTAATTTTTAAAATTCTTTTTAAATGTTTATTTATTGTGTGTGAGTGTGTGTGTGTGTGACAGCACACATGTGAAGATCAGAAGACAACTTGTGAGAATTAGCTTTGTCCTTCCACCATGTGGGTCCCAGATATTGAACTCAGGTCTTCAGGCTTGGAGCCAGGTACACTTACTAGCTGAGTACTCTCATTAGTCTAAAGCTCTGGGTTCTAAACCCAGCACTGAATAAACTTGTCAAACACAAGTGGTGTATGCCGTAATCCTGGCACTCAGGAAGTAGAAGCAGGAAGATCAGAAGTTCAAGGTCATCCTGGCTATGTAGCTAGTTCAAGGTCAGACTGAACTACCTGAGACCCTGTCTCAAACAACAACAACAACAACAACAACAACAACAACAACAAAACAAACAGTCCAGACTTAAGTACTACCAGTGACCAAAGGCACCAACTCACAGGAACACTGCCCTCTCATGGGGCAGCTCCAATTAGGGGTTCATTTTTTTATTTAACAAAGACCGAATGTTAATTATATATGATGCATTCATCTAAACTTAATAGTTCAAAAGTGAATCAATTATAATCCTTAAAGTAAGTTAAGCAGGTTAATATGATGTAGTGGAGGAACTGAGTAGGAGGTGACTGTGGAACTTGAGGTTAAAGCTAAAGCTGCCTTCTTAGAGCTTCAGCCTCAGCCTCCGTTTTCCTTCAATGACATCTCTTTAAATATGCAAGGAGAATAGCATGACGGTCAAGAAACTCTGCCGTCAATATCGGCTAACTATGTGACACCGAGGGAGGGAGAGTGGCTTGCCACATCTTCATGTCCTTGTCTGAAAGAACACATGATACTATAGACTTCATAGGATGATGAAACATAGATGATGTTTCTGCAAACAGCATCTGCAGTAATACCTGGCACATTGTGTTTGCGATCATTATTGTTCAATCATGGTGCCGAAGATGTGATCTCACTATCCTGCTGGCCGCCTCTGAAGACATTCTTCTGTCCTAAAGACAGACCTTGCTCCCATGTTGGACTCAGAATCAGATATGGAGAATCAGACTCCATGTGTGATCTTTTTAATTTTTAAATTTAATTTATTATTATAGTGTGTGAGTGAGGGCAGGTCCATGGTGCATATTTTATGACACATATGGAGGTCAGAGGACAACTCTCAGGAATTGGTTTTCTACTTCCACCACGGTTTCCAGGAATCAAACTCAGGTTATCAGGCATGCACAGCAAGAGCTTTTAGCCACTGAACCATCTCACTGACCCCAAAAGGATAATATTTTGTCAACTTTCCTATTTGCTATGATTTCCTAAGGACATTACCTCCAAGGTAACTACAACTTCCTTCGGAACTTCAGAATTTAATTTGTTCAAGTTCCCAATTTCTTTCTCTTTACCTCTGGCCATCACCATCAATCATGAAGAAATCCTCCTTTGCTAATAGAAACTGTTCTTTCTATATATGGGCATGTGCTATGCTACAAAATTAGTTCCAAAAGTCTGTTCTTGTGGGGATGGAGAAGACAAATGTAACCTGGACCTAATGCTGGAAAGGATTAAAGAGACAGTGTCATGGAGCCAGAGGAAGCACATATATGCTACATGACCCACTGATGGAGAAGGGAGCAGTGATTTGGGCACTGTGTATTCTGTCCAGTGAGCTTGAATATTCCTTTAGAACCTTTCACATACTTATTTATACATTCACTTATTTAGCCCATAAAACTAAATGAGTCAAACACTCATCTGAGCACAATGAGTGCTCAAGATACATATATAAACAAAACACACAATCTTTCGGTTCTCCCTAGCCTCACAGAACTTCCCTTTGAGGATGGAAATGGATAATAATCAATAGTGCTAACATAATATCAGTTAGTGATAAGATGTAGGGAGGAAAAAACAGAGTAAGATGAGGAATTTAGGAGGATACTATTTTAAGCACAATGGCTAATAAACAAAAAGGCCTTAGAAATGACATTTGAGTACAGATTCAAATAAAGTAAAGGAACAAACCACATCAGCACCTGGAGAAATGGAATTCAAGACAGAGAAAACAAAACAAAAACTCTAAGGCAAACGGTGCCTGGGATGACTGGGAAAAACTGGTGGGGATCCTCAGAAACAACAGCCACACACAGGGAGTCAAGGGCCAGCTTACAATGGAGCTTGTTAATGAGAAGACATTGAGCTTTAGTAACATGGAATTACAATCTATGTTCTAAAGGGAGTAGAGCAGAGGCAGAAGCAAGTCATCCATTAGGAGGCACCTGCAGTGGTCCCAAAAGATGAGGACTTAAACTAGAACAGCCATGCGGGAGAAAATGTATGTGGACAGACATCTCCATGTCCAACTGGCCAAGGACAGCTATGAATGTGGCTCAACTTCACATTGTTAAGAGCACCCACATGGTGGATAACAACCGTCCTTAACTCCAGTTCCAGGGGATCCAATGCCCTCTTCTAACCTCTGCAGGCATTGCACGACATGGGCGCACTTACACACATGCAGGCAATACACTCATACATGTAAAATAAAAACAATAAATAAAATATTTTGAAAAAGAGTATCCCCTCACATCTGCTAAAGGGTTGGATGTGGCAAATAAGAGAGAGACTCAATATACTGATGTAAGGAATGTCAGAGGAGAAACACACTCAGATTAAGGAGAATCAAGAGTTTGGCTTGGAACAAGTTATCTATGGAAACACAAATAGAGATATATT